TAACTAATACCTGGCACGGATCCAGACTCACCGAGATGGTCCACCGATGCGTTCGATCCATGCTCAGCAATGTGTAGAGCCAAATGCAGCTCCGCCCGTTTCACCGACTCCACATGGCTTGACGTGGCAGCTGGGAAACACTGATTTATTCTGGCTGACTTAACACCCACAGCGCTTTTCTTGTGCTTTGCAGACTTAGCATGGTCTTCGAGATCTTTGTGCTTCGCCATGTGCGTCGATCCACACCATTTGCACCGCGCACGAGAGCTGTCGCCCTCAACTGGTGCCAACCAACCGCGGAGAGCAGGCTCTTTCTCCCAATCCGATTTGTACCGTTGTGTGTACTGGTGTTTTCCCATGCTTGAAAATGATCACAATTCGGTAGGTACAAATAAAAATAAGGCAAATTACTCGCAACACGACATCTCACATCACATCACAACCGGAAAGAAGGAATTTGTAAAGTGTAAACAAAACGATTCAAATCGTCAAAACAAGCAGAAACAATATTCAAGAATTCCTAAGATAAATAAGTAAAACACAATGATAAAGGCAAATAGGTTGTTGTGAATGATTATGAACACTTTTTTGTGTGTGTAATTTATTATATGTAAACATTATTCAGGATCATGCAATTTTCCCCTTTTTTTAAAGTGTCATTTTATTGGTAACATAAATCCTCCAGATTTTCCTCCAGAAAGTGAAATCCTCCAGATTGAAAATTCACCCTTGGAGTCACGCTCTAAATCCTCCAGATTTGCGGAAATCCTCCGAATCTGGCAGCACTGTAAAACACCTATCCGTCGATAAGAAATACGATTTTTTTAGGGGAGGCGTTTAACCCAGGGGTGCGTTTTCCCCACAGTTACCCTACATCGTGTTCCGGCCCGCGGTTCCTTCATAAATCGACTCCGATATAAAAGTGACTCAAATGTGCTTTGGCACAACAGTTCTTCCTTTGCACACTTCATGAGTTTATAAACACCATTTGCGGGTGTTTTTGTCTAATTCTACTTCTAGACAAAGCTTGCAACGGTAAGATTTGGTAAGCAGCTTTTGCGCGCAGCATCAACGACTGCTGCAGCTGCGTGCACTTGGCGGCTTCACGTGGTCTACTCGCTTAACCTTCCAGGCGGTGTGTGTGTGGGGGGGGGGGGCGGGCCGGAACACGATGTAAGTCGCTGATACCAGCCGCGGGCCGGACGTCAGATGGTCGCGGGCCGGATCCAACCGTCACCCACCTGGCCGGATCCGGCCCGCGGGCGGTATGCCGACCCCTGACGCTAGAAGGCCTTAAAATCGGGTATTAATCTCTGCGGCTCGTAGCGGCGCACACGCTCGTTTTTTTTTCCGCGACGCGCTAGCTCCACCAGTGGCGAAACGGCGATGGGGGGGGGGTCGTACCCGCCCCCTCGGCCGGCGTGTACCGTAGAAAACAAATAGGTCCGGCGGGCAGTAGCGGCGGAACATCTTCAATTAAAGGGACCCTCCCACCTTAACATTAGTTTTGAGTTGAGATAGCCAAGTTTGCGGCCAGGCTCAGAAACCACCATTTATCCTGGTCGCAACCCCCGCAGCTTTATGGTGTTCAATAAACTTCTTCCCTTTACTTGCAGGGTGGGACCAGCGTGGTCCCTATCTCTTAACCATTACGGGAATCTGATGACGTCATCAGGCTTTCGAACGTCCGTTAAATGTTTGACTAAAACGTTTTGTAGCACGCGGTGGTATATGCTGCTTTGCGCGCAACAAATGCCGCACTTTCAAATAAAGTCGCTAGGAACAGCGGAGATCCCAAAAAGTAAACAAAAGTAAAAGTCTAATATCTTGAAAACCGGTGAATATTTTTCGATGAAATTTGGTAGATATTCGTTCTTGCTCTTTCTGAACCGAGCGACATCACTTTCATGCCAATTCATTAACTTTTTTGAAGGTGGGAGGGTCCCTTTAAGGGGGGCACGGCACTGCCGACTTTTGGTCCAATATGCTTTCCATGCAACGCCCATAGGGCTACTGTTAAAAGGCCAAAATTAAAGAGGGGAACGGTGCCCCGGTGCCCTCCCCGTTCCGCCGCCTATGCCGGCGAGGGTACCTACAAGAGATTATATTGTCATTCAACGACCGCGAAAAGAAGAATGTCCGGGAAACAAATGATATGGAATGTTACAATTGTCGGCTCCAAATACAATAGCTTCACCTGACTGACCTCATCTACCTGACTTCAAAAATTTCGATCATCCATTCCATGCATCAAATTCGTCATTCACTTGACTGTCTGATATTTCTTCATGGTTTTATTGTACCACATTTGTGGACGAGTGTTTGCGGAGACGAAGATAGCGCAGACAAAGATTTGCGGACGAAGATTTGCGGACGAAGATTTGATTGGACGAAGAAATGCGTGGACGAAAAATGCGGACGAAAAATGCGGACGAAAATTTGCGGACGAAGATTTGCGGACGAAGATTTGCGGACGAAGATTTGCGGACGAAGATTTGCGGACGAAGATTTGCGGACGAAGATTTGCGGGGACGAAGATTTGCGTGGACGAAGAAATGCGGACGAAGATTTGCGTAGACGAAGAAATGCGTGGACGAAAAAATGCGGACGAAGATTTGCGGACGAAGATTTGCGTAGACGAAGAAATGCGTGGACGAAGAAATGCGGACGAAGATTTGCGTAGACGAAGAAATGCGTGGACGAAAAAATGCTTGACGAAGAAATGCGCCGACGAAGAAATGCGGATACGAAGAAATGCGCTACGAATTTTTGCACCTACGAAGAAATGCGAGACGAAGTAATGCGACACGAATAAATGCGCCGACGAAGATTTGCGGACGAAGAAATGCGGACGAAATATTGCGCGACGAAGAAATGCCATACGAAGATTTGTCCGGTTACGCTAGCAAGGCCATATAACCAGGTATGGTCATCAGGCTTTTTTTTACCGTCCCCCTACCGGGCCCGAGTGACGTCACTGGGATGGTAACTCGCCGGCCGCCGTCCGTAGCCATTATGGAGGACGGACGTTCAAATACGTTTTCAGCGGATTTTAGTGCAGTTTTGATGTCCGATGCAAGGCAGAACGGTGTGATGTTTCCTCAGTGAAGCAAATCAGGACCAGCTGTTACTCGAACTCAAAGATTTGGTGGCATTATTGGGATCGGACCGAGCCAACGTGCGCCCCGCCGGTGATCCGGCCAGCACATCGGCGGCTTTCTCGTAGATGAAAATCGCCATAGTTTTGCGCGAGTCTTGGGAGTCAATGGATTTCTGGTGACTCTGACTCCAACCGCGACTTCCAAAAACCAACTCCGACTCCGACTCCGGGCTGAGTTATCAACTCCGACCGACTCCAACTCCGACTTCGCAGCCCTGCCAGGTCTGCGGAGCCGATGGATTTTCGGTGACCCCGACTCCGACTCGGTTTCCAAAATCGACTCCGAGTCCGGTCAGAACTGTCGACCCTGACTCCGACTCCGCAGCCCTGGTTTTGCGTCTATTTCGCCTCGTAATTAACCCTCGCCGGCACAGGGGGGGGGGGGTTGATGCAACCCCCTAAGGTTTTTCGCGAATAACTCGCGTAAAAAGCGCCGATCGCTACGAAACTTTCAGTACCCTCGCATTGTTCAATTTTACACCTACCCTGAAAATCTCATGACCCTGACCCAAATGACCTTTGACCTGTGACCTCTTTTCCGAGACTATGTTTGGCCGTAATCGCGATTCGGCGTATGTCGGCTCGCATTAGCCGCGCGTTTGCAAGCTTTTCGTGGTTTCAAACGTTCAAACATGTGATTTGATGTTGCTCCCATACATTAGGGTGGGTGTCAAGGCCTCACCTGAAGGTCAGGTCAGGTCATTGACCTTTGGTGACCTCGGAAGACCTCGGTTCACTTTTTCGAGTTTCACATGCTTCTAGGCTAGTTTTTGGAGCTGAATTCGAATTTAGCAACCATTTGAACATTTACGAAGTAGTTTTGGTGCCTTCGTAACATGTTACGAAGCTGTCAGAGGCGGTTGACACGTATTACGAATACCCGTCACAACCCCTACCGGTTGACCTGGCCCGACCTGGTCTAAATGCTTAAAGACATCATCTCTGATCAAAACTAACACGATATTCGTGATCAGCACCCCGGAAAACCACATAGCAGCCACAGTCACACTTTACGACTTTCTAACAGGTCCCGATTTTCCCGGTTTTCGGGTCATTGACCTGACCTGGAAGGTCACCCGATGACCTAGCACCTTAAAATTGGGTACCATCGGCTTCCTCTCGTGACGGGCAACACGCTCGTTTTTTTTTTCGCGAAGCTCTAGCTCGATCAGGGGCCAAACGCGAGGGGGGGGGGGGGGTCGTACCACCCTTGTGCCGTCGAAGGACGCAAAATGGCCTGTGCCGGCGAGGGTTAAGAGAGGTTGTGTGAACTGCACAAACCGAAATTGTACCGTAACACAAGCATACACATTCCAAACTTATGACTGGAACGGACCAAATGCGTACACAATATACCAGTTTATGTCATACCAGTATACCACACTGAAAACTTTTTTACCATTTCCTGAAGGGTAAACCCGCCATAGCATGGTAGCTTGACACACAGACGTTTTTTACCACCTTCCAGATGGTAAATTTTACTCTTTCATGAAGAGTAAACTCGCCAGGGAGGGGTAACATGACACACAGACGTTTTTTACCATCTTCTGAATGGTAAACTCTTTTGATTTACTCTTGTCTAGAGTGTAACATTTTTTGGGTTACACTCTTTGAAAGGGTAAATCTTTAACGGAACCCTTTTCTAGGGAGTAACGCATCATCTACTCTGTGCTTTACCCTCCTACAGAGAGTATATTCTTCTGGCCTACCCTTTGTCGCATGGTAATGTTTACTCTTTCCTTTAGTGTAAACCCCCCAGAGGATGGTAACAGACTCACAGACGCTTCCTTCAGAAGCTTCACGAAGCTTCTGTTAACCGGAGCTCACCAACAAAAAAAAATGTTTCAAGAGCAACAATATATATTTGGCTTCCGTACAAACAATACGAGGGGCACACCAGCCATGAACATTGTGAGACTCTTCACTTATTCATACGAATTTAACAAAGCGTTCATCAATGCACAAGCGATAAATAAACACCACGCGACAACTTGAATGCAATTTGAATATGAATACCTACAAGACATTCAGCACCCTCATATTGGATAAGGCACAGCGCACAATATTTGAAGTGAGCGACGGCGTTCCTGGGTGGTCGCCCGTCTGCGTGAGATAATGAGACTGGATCACTACAGTACAAGTCTTTTTTCAAAGTCACCAACAATATGCATAAACTTGTAGCATCACAACAAAATTAATGTACGTACTCAACACTAGGCCACGTGGCCGTGCACGGGGTCCTGTTAACCAGGTCAAATTAGCACCACTCAACGGCACGCAATGCTCTAGCACATCGGTACTTACAATAAAATGTCCATAGAGGCTCTATAGGCGATGAACAGCACACAAGCACAATCACCAACGGCCACGCCGCGCGGCACCGACACTGCTCACATCCGCTCTCGGAGACCAACGGCCGAAAACTGACAGATGCGCGCGGCCTTCAAACCGCAAACGGCCGATCTCGTTTCTGATTGGCTGATTGGTTCCATTTCAAATATCATCTTCACGAGGGTAAACAAGATCCACGCATGAAACGACTATCTGTACACGAGTCACGATACCCAGAAGGAAAGAGTTTTCATGATGTTCTGGATCGCGAGAGTAATATTGATATTTACATGGTAATTATACTCTTCGCTGGCGAATAAGTTCATATTAACCACGTACCGTTACTATGCACATAATGGTAGCAGCGAGTTACCCTTTCAATATACTCTTATCTTGGGGGTTTGATGAAAATGAACCCTCCAGGAGGTCGTAAAAAAGTTTTGAGTGCATAAATCGTAGTTATAGTTAAAAACCATATTGGACAGATTGGTAGAGGACAGATAAGGCACAAGCCTAATCTCTTGCGACTTGAGTAGGTAAACTAAAATGCTCCGAACTGTCGGAAAGTTGTACAAGATGTCGCCTCTCCAAACACAATGTGCCGACTGACCACGCGACAGCCAGGAACCGGGCAACATTACACGTGAAGCAGAGCGGTGGCACCTCAGCACAGGCTCCCCAAGCTCATCAAGGCGGCGAGAAAGGTCCGGCAGGTCGGTGGCAGGTTCACCACGGCAGCGACAGGTCAGGCAGGTCGGCAGCAGATTCACCAGGGCGGTGGCAGGTGCGACAGGTCGGCAGCAGGTTTACCAGGGCGGCGACAGGTCCGGCAGGGCGACGACGGACCTGTTTCACCAGGGCGGCAGCGTAAACGCGGCGGCAGGTCCGCCGGGGTGGCAGCAGGTTCCAGGGCGGCCGCAGGCTCACCAGGGCGGCGACAGGTCCGGCAGGGCGACGGCAGTTTCACCAGGGCGGCAGCGTAGACGCGGCGGCAGCAGGTTCCAGGGCGGCCGCAGGCTCACCAGGGCGGCGACAGGTCCGGCAGGTCGTCGGCAGGTCCGTCGGGGCGGCGACAGGCTCAGCAGGTCGGCCTCAGCAGCAGGCAGTCAGCAGATTCTCGGGGCAGCCCTGGTTGAGGTGGGATGTCATCAGAAACTGCACGTCTGGGTGCCGATGTCGGATGTCGTACAGACCACGCCGCGAGGCTTTGCTGCGCAGCACGCCCTGCTGGCAGCGCAGGAGTGTCGGCAGCCCAGCGAGTGCTTTCGGGTCGCCTTCCTTAACTTCCTTTCGGAAACTGGCGCTCGCCACTCAGGGACTCGGGCGACGTCTCCAAAGCTGGGAGACAGATGCTGAAGTCGATATGATGTGATTTTATGCCCTCAGCTCGGTGCCGGTCATTGTGCTGTTATGTGCAGGTAGCCACTCCTCGCTCTCCTGCACGCCGTCAAGAGGACCAGCCCCGGACCTGCAAAACACATTACCAAATTTACTAACACAATGCAACATGAAAAACATTTCACTAGGCGATGGCAAGCAAAAAAATCAATGCCCCAAAGGTGCCTTTTTTATTGCCTTTTCTATGTGCTGACATGAAGCCTCAAAACATGTACCTATTTTATATTTATGTATTGATTGCAGGCCTGACTCAGAATTCAGGTGAAACAAGCAAATAACACAATTTATTTCATTGATATTTTGAATTTGAGTCTGGCATTACTGTTCCATGCACAGGTGCGTCTGCGTATAAAATCATATGAAGGAAATGCATTAGGTAAATAGTCTTGACAAATAGAAATAAGTAGTAGCACAGGTGGTATAAATGGAAACCAATATATACGGGGATGAGCTTGTTTAGTTAGCAAATGTCAATTACATAACTTTTACATAAACAAGAATGGGCTTTTCAGCAATAAGCATGTCAGAAATCCTTTTAAATTCAAAATTTTCACACAAAATTTGACAGTTTAAATACATATGATAGAATCTGGCAACAATTAATATTGAAAAGAGGTAACAATAAGCTTCAACTTTGCACGCAAGATGTGCCAAAAATTTGGTGAGAAATCTCTTGCGCTGAATTTTGAGACATGAAAGCGGAAAGCCCCTGATGCATCTGACAGTGTGTGAATTTTTTTCCAGTCTGGGAGGTAAGCATAGATTGATTTGTTATTTGATGCTATTTTATTTTACAAATAAGTAGTTATTTTCACAAAGTATTAGGTAATATTAATAGAAGCTAGCCTCTTCCGAAACAATTTACGTCCATTCCATCTCCTTCTCATTATCTTTTCAACAATGCTAAGGCATTTTACAACTTAATATGAGTTAATCATGCTCCTTTTGAAAGCCAAAAATGACAAAAAAGGTTAAACCGGGTTGAACTGAAACGTTGCTGATCTGCCTATGATCAGTTGGGCAAACTAGGCGGCAGGAATCAAAATATGGAGGCATCAAAATATTGATTCTAGTGGGCGGAGCTTTGACCATATATGGGCATACGTGCAGACCATCACAGAAACGTCAATTCTTCAGCAACCGGCTATAATTTCAAGATAGTTTCTTCACAAAATGAAGAGCAACGTTGAAGCTACCCGCCAGGCACGAAACAATAGCCCTAACCTCTTTGGTTAGTTTAGGAAAGCGTCTTGAAAATAATCAAGATATTGATTCATCACGGCGGCTAATCCCGGCGAGAATCAATATTTTGATTCCGCAAACAGCTGGCTAATCATTATTTTGATTCTGAAATCAGCTGGTTTATCAATATATTGATTCTGCGAACTGACTTTCTGCAGACGTACTTCACTCTTCAAATTGATTTATGGAATGTTTCTTGTGTGCAAATAATGCAAATTCAATAAATTCATGAAGATATTATCAGCACAGGATCGTGTAATTTTTTTCTAGACCTTATTCCCACGGTAGACCAGGGATTTTCAGCACTCACCCTGGCTCCCTGCTCAAAGCTGCAAGCCTTCGAGGGAATGCGTGAAGGGAGCCGTGCTGACCTTTGTATAGGGGTTGTACTGAGTCGGAGCCGGAACCGAAGCCAGACCATTTTACTCGGAGCCGGAGCCGGAGCTGGAGCCGATTTTTTCCTCCGGAGCCGAAGCCGTCTGACATTTTCACGGCTCCACATCCCTGCTTTGTAGCATTGATTTTGAGTAAAAAAAGTTAACTTATCGTCTTTCACGTGTTCATGAATGTGTTTCTACGCATCTGTATCCCGTCCCATTTCTGTGGAGTACAGTAAGAGATATTTCGCCGAACAATATACTCAAGCCCGTTGCACAAATTGCACAATTTGAATGAATATATGATACACGGATGTATTTGCAGTCGCAAATAATACGATGATATTCATAACACATTTCACAACGATCCCTGCAATTGCCACACATTTGCCATCACAAAGTCCTGTCGTTGATGCTCACATCCCATGCAAAGCAATACTCACTTTTAGGACACGTCTCTTATTCAATATGGCTACGTATTTGCAAAACATGCAGTTAATACTATTTGAAACTGAGACCTAACCAATAAGACATACTGTGGACAGGTAAGAAAAAAACAAATAAACGTCTGGAGAATGACCTAAACGTCTCGATGTTGCCTAATAACAAAGAGCAATTTTCGGTTTCGAATCAAATACATACATGAAATAAATATTAACAAAATTTGTACAGATACACTCAATATAGGGTTTATGATTAGCACGGCTACCTAAAACATCAATCCTGTCAGGTTGAGCCACTTATGTCCACACCCAAAGCAGGTCGCTTTGGAACACCACAAGATCCCATATTACCACCGAAAACGGTCACCAATTGGTCTACTGATCAGCATCTTCAGAACATTCTCGACCAAAAAGCTATCAGTCCTGTCTGTGTTTTGGTTCGCTTAATTGGGCTATGTGCACGTTTTTCTACTCCGGTTCTAGGGACGAGATAGCAGTCATCACGCGCTGCACCAGCTCGTTCTTTGACAGTTTGGTGACGCTGTCGTCATCCGGCAGGATAAACACGTGGCGCATTTCACCCTCGGCCCCGCCAGCCACATACACACTTCCTTACGTCATATTGTTTCTCGCCACGAGATCAAAGTTCAAAAGGTCGTGATGTAGGTAGTCTCCGCCCAGCCCGAGTCAGGTACTCCACCGGGCACCGGTTGGTCGGGTGCGGCCAGGTCCGCGCAACGCCGCCCTACTTCGGTCGACGCTCTGGTTGACAGGGATGGCGTTGTCATACAGTTGCCTGTCGACTGAACAGCGATTCAAGACGCCATCCTTGACCCTCTGAAGCCGATCCCCGCAACGACCAGTGTTTGCTCCTTGGTTGACCTGCAGCAAACAACAGAACACAATAATTAGGACATTTGTGGACAATAAATTAGGGAACTATATGTGTTATTATTCTACTTGTTCAGCAACTATTAATTTTAGAATATATTCAATAAAAAATTAAATACTTAATGTCACTTAAATTTCCACTGAACGCCACCAGGTGCGCAAACAACTGTCATCTCATGCAGTTATATAAATTCTGCCAAAAAGTAGATCTGAGGCCAGTTGTACCAACAGAAAAAAGGTGGCTGCTGGATTTTTTTTTGTCTAAAAGTTACTTCACATACAGAGCATGAACGGTACAACCCTATCCGTTTACGTGCCCATCATGTTAGCTCCATATGTGAAGCAGTCTTTAGGCAAAAAATTCCAGCAGGCAGCTATTTGTGTTGATAAAACTGGCCTCTAAAATTAACTTTGGCATGGACAATCCTGAAAATTAACTATCCAGCATTCCCTGGACTGACGTACATTAGACACATAATTTTCTTGAAGATCACGCATAATGTAAATATGGCTTACACCATTCAGCAACTTGCTTTTGTTACACTTAAAATAAGCATCATTAAATATGTAGCAAAAATGGGCGAAGCAATTACAAGCCAAGCATACATACCTACTATTTAGATAAGGCAAACACGAACATGCACAACGACCTTTCAATCTTAACTCGGAACAAGTCAATAACCTAGTTGCCCTTAAAAATTTAAATGCTACAAATTAAAGTTGTAGCAACAATTGGGTGAGTGAGACACAAGCAGAGGCTAAAACATCCAAATTATGTAAAATACTGGACAAGCACTGCCCCCATTTCATGAGTCCACCCAACAATTCTATCATGTGAGACAAAACATTAGGCTTCTTGTACCTAATTTATACCGTAACTTTTAAAGGACATCATATTTCACTGAAATACTACACCTAAGACATCATTTTCAAAAAAAATATAGCTTAAAAAGACATTAGAAGAGTGAGAAGGCGTCCCGCGCCGCTGACGTCGCTACCACGCCATGTACCTAAAACCATCTCTTAAAACGAGTTTTCGGTAAGAAACGTTAAGATCACATGCCTGAAATTGAAAAACACACTTCAAAGTATCTTAAAATATGATCCATTGTTACTTACACTTCAGAAAAGGTCGCTTAAACAAAATAAAACCGGGAGCACTACGTTGCATCCAAACACCCACGACGCCGGAGCGAAATGGCGGGAACCGGAAATCGTGGCTAGATACAAAGAAAAAGAATATTTCTTACAAATGAATTATACAACTATATAACGCATTTTTTATTTTCTTTTAGACAAAATTATGAAAAAATTACAAAGGCTCGTCGTTAATGATAAACAGAGCAAGTTTTAACAGCACGTTTTTGTTGAATTATGGCGGCGAAATCTTTATGCCGTTCGTAAAGGTACGCGCGACAAACGGCTGATAGCCATGCAGCGAAAAATTTAAGCGGGGAAGTTTTTTGTATTGACTTGTCAAAAAATCTCGCCGTCATGGGGGTTATTTCCGCCGTAACGGGTCGTCTGAAGGTGGGAATGTCCCAAATTGAATCAAAATATTGATTCTATGCCCATATATGGTCAAAGCTCCGCCCACTAGAATCAATATTTTGATGCCTCCATATTTTGATTCCAGCCGCCTAGTTTGCCCAACTGATGATACTCATGCTTATACAGTTGAATTGAATACCTGAGCTGAACTGCTGAAGCTGGTCATTCTTCATGATCTTTGAGACAAGTGTGTGAATGCCACTTATATGTGTATGCTTTTCCGATCTTCAAACACATAAAAAGTGATATTAATATCAAATAAACAATATTCAAACTCTGTATAACAATACACGCAACGGCTGGAAAACACTGCGCCGGTGCGCCAGAATTGACAGCATCGCCTGAATCTCAGCGACCAATCAGCTTTCGACCATCCCAGTGACGTCACATTGGCAGCATTTGGTAGCCATTTCCCTCCTATTGCCCGGTAAAGGGACGGACCCCCCCTGGACACTAGACAGGCATTAACCGTACGGTGCCCAACAAAACGTTTTTGAAATATCGCTGTCCAACTTGCGTATTTACAAATTGCAACCGAGCTCCGCCGTGGGGTAAGGTGGGCAGGGGTTTTCGCACTACGGCTGCGGTTGAACTACCGTCTGTGGTAGAAACTTCAGGATGATGGCGCGTTTCATACGAAATCTGGCGCAATGTTTATTTGCTTCTGAACTTGTATTGTTATTGCTGTGAACTCTTGAAGTGGGAGTGTTTCAATAACAATTTGTGGATTATTTGGGTTTCTTGATATAAAAATCGAATAATATTATGAAACATTGTGTGGAAACCGCAAATACTGATATAATCAATTGCTTAGTTTGGGAATTGATACACATTTTGTAGAGGTTTGTCTGGCAAATGGTGTAACAAACTTCAAGCCTATCATGATCTGAAGCTGTTGCAACAAATCAAAATTGCTTTGATGTTCCATAGTACCTTGTTGGAAAGACTGGAGCATGGTTCAAGATGATGTGTAAAAATTCAAGAATTGTGCAAAAGCTTATGACTGAAGAGCGAAAACAGTTCTATATGATTGCTCAATGAAACGTGGAAATGGACGACAAAAGTAGAGTTTCAACATTCCAGCATGTGAGAATAACTTCAGAACTTCATAGTTCTTGTAGAATTGTATTCTCCTTTTGTACAGTTCTAGGTTTTGTTAGGGTATTTCAATTTCAATGTGTTAGTTGAGATATAGGTACACTTTGCGGACAAAATTTAGAATCATTGCATGGTAGGTACTTGTTCGGTAAAAAGGTATGTGATTAATGCCATGAGAAAGTTTTTTATGATTAAATATATGTTCATTGTTGTACCTACAAAAATGCAAGCTTACTAGCACCTAGTTATTGAATCAAATCGAAAGTATTTGCTATGAATGTAAATATGTACCTGCAAAGTATGTCAATAAATTTGTGTGATGTTGACCAGAGAGCTGTTGCTGTATCATCTGGGCATTTATGTTGCTTCTTACATTAGGTGTTAAGCATAGTAATTACCTATGGGTGAACTTTGTGCCAATATCTTCAATTCACAGTGTATGTAGCATGTCTACAACCCTCACTGATCCTGCTATAGCTATAGGCATTTGGCTCCAGCAAGACCAAGGGCATGAACTTCACAATTGCACAACCTTTTTATGCACCACTAGTCACTTTTTTTCCTTAAGGTGCACATGGCAGTGTACACAATAATGTGCAGAGGGCCTACACAAAAACAACATGACTAGTGTGCACTATGATGCACAGCATTGTACCCTGATTATTTGAAGATTCTAATCACTCAACAGTCAGGAGGTCATTTTTGAATGTCACATTTATTATACATCACTTGTCAAACAAGAGTGCATGATGACACACATTTTGACAAGCAATCATGGTAATATTCCAATAAGTTGGACACCTCCCTGGGCGTGATTTTCCAGGAAGGTACCTCTGCAGGTGTTGTGGTAGGTTAGGTTGAATTGGGGTTAGGTGAAGTAAGGCAGTCAGGATCAGGTCAGACCGTAAGACCTGGTCAAGTTGATTTTAATATTTCATTCTAATTTGACATAGATGCCTATTACCTATGTTTTTGCTCCAGACTGAACTTCATTAGGCAATGAGTTCATTTTGTGTTGTTTTTTATCTGTCTTGTTTTGTGTTTTTGTCCCTTATGTTTTGCCCCATAGGCAAGGGTGGAGCTTTTCCAGCGAAGGTGGTGCTGGTGGGGCAAAAAGCTGTCAAACCTGCAATGCTCGGTTGTTAAGTTAGATTATGTGCAACACTGAATCAATTCTTTTAATTACAGAACTAACATTTTGAATTACACAGACATTTCAAAGCTCCTCAATGCCAACAACATAGTGGTTTGCTAAGCAACGAAGTTCTACAAATAAGCAAAAGTTGGAGGGGCAGAACGCTTTTTTTCTGACAGCTTCGTAACATGTTACGAAGGCACTAAAACTACTTCAGTACAGGGTGTAACGAAATTATCCGGACATCTATTTTTTCGCCATATCTGTTTGCACAGTTTCCTAATCCTTCCTGATGTTAGAAGTGGGGATATTGGATGAATACGTGCCTCTGCTATCGGTTTTCAACTCAGCAGTGACCTGACCTTGTCATGTGACTGTTGCTCTGAGTAGGAGTCGATTCGCAGACGGGTTCACATGGTAGTTTTCGTCCAAGGCAGTTGCGAGAAAGGGATGCAATCTCTCCTTTCGTGGTAAAATTGCATGGCGGCATCCACGGCGTCATGAGCCAGAAGCTGGTCTGCCAGCAGCTGGACATCAGCAGCAGCCAATTGCACATCTGCCTGAGGTGTAATAATCTGGGACTTCGGTGGCAGACTCAGCCCAGTCGTGACCACAAAAGCCGCCCTTTGCCAAGTGGTGAGGAGAGTCATCAAGATAGCGGCAAGGAAACGGCACCAATCAATCCGCAAATTGACTCGAATTCTTACCAAGTCAGATAATAAGAGATCCCATATCATGCTTTACCGCTACCCGCCCTTTAACTTGGTTCTAGTGCCCTTCAAACTGAAAAAGACAACGAAACTGACGGGAAAACAACCAGTTCACCACCTTTCGCCTCACGCCAGATCGCGTCCACTGGTTGAAGAATGATAAGGGTGAGGTGGTCTGGTTGGATGGGTAGCCGTTCGAGCTGTATTATCTTTTGAACCGTCAAATCGGCCATGTATGGGCGGCCAGCCGCTCGAACTTCCTGGCCTTCGCCGCCGTCAAACATCCGGACAACATCCAGAACTGGAGCATGTTCAGCTGCCTAGCGATCCTCCAATAGAACATAGTGTCACAAAATACCGCCATCAACGTCAAGTATTACCGGAGAAACATACTGGCCAATGAATAGTCGGAGGCGCTCAACCAGACGGTATAGGAGGCCCTCCTATACCGTCTGGTTGAGCGCCTGAGGGCTCGGTTTTTGAACGCGCACTGATGCCTGATTCAAGCCACGCTGTCTTCATGCGGGACGGCGCGCTACTTAAAAGTCCCTAAAAGAACGGGAAGTGATGCCGATAGAACCTTCAATCATTCTGGGCTAACGCTTATGACTTGGAAAAAGTCGCGATCCCAATTCAATCGAAAACCTGTGGGCTCTTGTTCAGTATGTATGTATGTATGTATGTATTGACACCAAAAGCCTTCCACATATGGTGTGGCGATTACGGCTTAGGTGACTGAAGAGACGCCCGCCACAAGCACCGCCCAACCGCTGCCACAGGTTTAGACGGCGTTGGTCCGCATCAAAGCCAGTGTGCTGGAGAATACATTGGCTGAAATGCTCCAAAACATTCGCCACTGTGTTTTTATGAAAGGTGGCTACATGCTCAGTCAAAATAAAAAGTACCAGAATGTTTTGCTTTTTAATTACAGCGGGAAGAAAGATGTCCGGATAATTTCGTTACACCCTCTGTAATGTTCAAGTGGTTGCTAAATTCGAAATCAGCTCCAAAAACTAGCCTAGAAACATGTTAAACTCGAAAAAGTGAACCGAGGTCATCAAAGGTCATTGAGCTGACCTGACCTTCATGTGACACCCACCCTAATGTATGGGACCAGCATCATATCACATATTTCAACGCTTGAAACCACGTAAAGACTGCAAACGCGCGGCTAATGTGAGCCGACATACGCCGAATCGCGATTCGGGCCAAACATGGCCTCGAGAAATAGGTCACAGGTCAAAGGTCATTTGGGTCAGGGTCATGAAATTTTCAGGCCAGGAGTAAAATTGATAAAATCGGGGGTATTGAAAGTTTCGTCGCGATCGGACGGTTTTTACGCGAGTTACTCACGAAAAACCGATGGGGTCCGCTCAACGCCTCCCCCTATACCGGCGAGGGAAAAGCGCAACCAAAAAGACAAAAATATGCACATGCGATAACCTATACTGCGAAAAAAGGTGCATCATTTTTTAACGTCGCCGACAAATTGTAATTACCCCAAGCTCAGGCGGATGTATGGTAGAAAATACCCCAACTGAAATACACTACGGCGGAAATAAAATACCCTACGGCGGAGCTCGGTTGCAATTTGTAAATACGCGTCCAACTTACCCACTAGAGATTTTCCTCCGCTAGTGGAGGAAGAAAGAATGCTGTCTTCCTCCGCATATGGAGGAAACTGGCAGCACTTTCCTCGAAGAGGTGAGGAAAGTGTGGCGCGGAAGTAAGGGATGGAAGAGGTGGGAACATATATTGGGGTTAGTTTTGGTATTATGCTTTGGTTCGAGTTTCCGATAGTGTATCACGTAATTCTGTTGAGAAATATGCATATATCGAAGTGCGACTTACGAAAAAGGGCAATATTGATATTGGTAAAGGCTGAAGAATGAAGATTTCTTTATTTTGGTTTCTTCACCTGGCCGTCGGCGTCTATCTTATGAATTGAAATTTACTTACTGTGTACTTGCTTACCTACCTATAACCTATTTATTTACCTTTTTATATACGTGCACTGTGTTTTTAGCCTTGACCTACCTAAACGGCTAAAAGTAGATTGTGATGCTAGTTAAATGGAAATAGTCCACCTTTAACATGGGCCGTTTCACCACACCAGTGATAGCAGCACGCTCTGTTATCATGTGATAACATAATTCTAACGTAATTCTGATAACATAATTAATACATGATAGCAGCACTTTGGCGAGCTGAGATAATGTCATGATGCCATATTGTTGATGTGATGGGCAGTTCTGGCGTATGATTGCCGTGAGTCTGGCCTCAACATTAAGTGGCGTTTTAAGCCTAAGAGTAAGAGTTGACACAGTCAAAATACTTTATTTATTAATGAAATTTATTTATTAAATATGATGTATTAAAAATAAGTTAAGCTTAAAAAATTTGGACAATACTTTAAACATTTAGTTGATTACCTCAAACAATATTGTGGCAATTAAACGCCAGAATTACCCCTTACATCATCAGTATAAAGTCATCACATTGCGTCAGCTCATGCAATTGGATAGCAGCGTGCTGCTATCACTGGTGAAACAGGGCCCTGGCGCATTGCACAGTGCATTTCACTCTTAGTGTAGGTTGGTATCATGATTCTGTTTTGCAAACAAGTAATAAAACAATTACAAACGGTAACTGAAGCCGGAAGCGACTAAGTCGTTATATAGCCAATACATAAACAATTTATATTGGCATCTCCGTTCAAAACATCTCCGCCATTTTTGTTGACAGCCGAAGCCTCAAGGGCGTTCATGCGATGCGACAGCACAGGAAAGCAGGATGGGTGTTAGGCTCCGCCTCAGAGGTCGCGGGAGCCGCGGCAGCGGCAGACACTGGAATCAGCGCCAAGGAAACACCTAAGGACGATTCAATGAAAGCTGTAGCCTGTAGGAAGGACGTTAGTCCTTAGGTAGGTGTCACACCACAATGCTTCTAAACATAGCTAAGCGATTATAAAGTGGCCATTCTAGTGTTTCAACTGGGTGAGTAAACCAGGTGATTAAACGGTGCTGTTAAAGCTGGCGTCACCGTCGGTGGATATTAGGTTGGTAGGTTGTAGGTAGGTAGGTAGGTTTGTAGGCTGTAGGTTAGTTGGTTGTGTCAGGTTAGATCATGTTTTTTAGCTTCCTTCATGAAGTCCCACACTGATCTTGGGATCTTGATCGACTCTGAGTTGAAGTTTCACCAGCATGTTGCTTCGACAGCAGAGATTAAGGCTGCTGGTCTTACTCAAAACTTGTTAAAATCAACTGTGCAGATCCCCTGATTTTATGCCCACTATTCAACACTCATGTAAGACCCATCATGGAATACTGCTTGAGTGTATGGCATGCCACATACATAGGGGATGTGCGCCTCCTTGGATTGGTTCAACGACGTCGGACCAAAAAGATCTCAGCAAGGGCGCAAACAAGGGGGCACACAGGCCCGTGCCCTCCCCCCCACCCCGCTATTAGAGTTAGGGGCCCAACTCACCCTCAAATGGGCCCCTTATCCTTAGACCACTGAAGACCATGTAAAAATGAGCTGAAACAATGATTGAAAAGACCGGGAGGGCCCATCTTGGGCCTATCTTTTGCCCCAGCAGGCCCATATGAGTTCATAAAATGCCCAGTAGCGCAGCCAATATGAATGTGGTTAAACCTCAACGGCCCTCAAAAGGTCTCTAAGAGCCCTCGGATGGTGTCACAGGGCCCTCAGAATCTCGAAGGGCCCTCAGATGGCCTCAAAGGGCTGTCAGAATGCCTCAAAGGGCCCTCAGCTGATATCAAACGGACCTCGGAAGGCCTTAAAGGGGGTCAAGGCGGCCCTGAGCTGGCGTCAGAGGGCCCCCAGCTGATGTCAGTTATTTGCCCTGGTTATTTGAGGGGTTCCTGGCTGCCTGAGGGGCCTCTGGTTATCAAAGGGTCACCTGGTGGAACCCTGATCGATTGAAAGCCCCTGGTCACCTGAGAGGCCCCTGATTACCTGACGGGTCCCTTAAACGGGCCCAATGCCGGTTCCTGAGAGACCTTGCCGGCCTCTGATGGCACTTGCCAGGATCAGGGATGAGGGTTCAGCTGCAATGGCCCCACACCCATCTGTGATAGCCTAACTCGGCGCAAACCAGTGTTTATGAGTTCCCCCACACAACGGCACCTGCGAGGCCCCTCAACCACCTCTAAGGGCTCCACACCAGCGCCTCTTAAGGGACTACATTTGCGGCTCTGTGGGTCCCTTTCCACATTTTCTGAGGACCCTGACGCCTCTGACGGCCATGTACCAGTGACTCTAAGTGGGCCTCTTACCAGCCTTTGAGTGTCCTTGCCAGCCTACCAGCCTACCAAGTATGAACGGCCACTTTCCACTTTCAGGTCATTTGCAGGGCCACACACATGCCAATGGTGGCCCCACCAGTGTCCTTAAGCCGTAAGGCCCCGCAACGGCGGCTGCGAGGACCCCACACCAGCGCATTTGACGGCCTTTCACCGGCACCTCTGAGCGCGCCACGCACCGGTGACTCTGAGGAGCTCGCTCCTTTCGCTCACTCGTAAAATACCGTGCATATTAAGCACACTGCTCAGGTAAAATTGATATTTTTACCTGCCAATTTTATTTTCCACATTTTCTCAAGGCTAAGACCGTTTTGGAGAGGCCCGTCTGCAAGTGGGACCGAACCCACTGTGCCCTCCCCCCCTCCCATCGAAAGGTCCTTGATATGTCCCTGCCTGGGCTGACCCGTGGCTCCCGGGTGACTCTAGAGCATCACTCTAGACCAAACACTCCAGAGCATCAAAACACAATGAATGTGTTCAGCTCAACAATACATATCAACTGGTTTGCAGTAAGTATGACCTTTTACGGCCAGGTCATGACATTGACTGAAGGTTGAATTTTTATGTTGTCTCTCAGAGTCAGAAAAGTTTCTTGATGAATTTCGCGGAGTTTCTCGGACAATCACGTTTTTGCTTTGTGTGTGATGTGTGTGTGTGTACTGTGTGTGTGTGTGTGTGTGCGTGTGTGTGAAAATGTGGTAACAAAGTCACACGTTCCGGCACAGACACATTCTAAAGGCACTGAAACAAACTGAAAAATGTAGCCTAAGTAGTTTTTTTTTTGGGGGGGGGGGTATCAATATTGTAATATTGTAATATTGGGGTTAAATGGTATGAACTAGAGATGTCAATCGGATACCAACATTTTGGTATACCGATACCAAACCGATACCAACTTGGTATTTGATATTTCAATCGTAATGTGTTTGGTATTTTATTGGTATCATGAACCCTCAATAATGTATAAAAGGCTAAGAAATCGGTAAAAAGTTGGTATTTCCTTCATTTTTCCAAGTTGGTTTGGTTTCGGTATTTCCCCATGGTTTTGGTTGGTATTTGGTTTGGTATCGGTATTCAGATTTTCCGTAATTGACATCACTAGTATGAACCCACGTCCCACCCCTTGTCATGCCTTACACCTGTTTGCTAGACAATATCATATATGTTCATTGACCTTTTAAAAGCAGATTATTTCGAACTAAGGCCATATCCCATTTTGGAGCGCTTTCATTGTAAAAAGCATGTGAAGTGTACGGACAATAAAATCTATATCCAGATGTCAAATTTCTGACGCCCCTTCTCCCTCCCACACCCTCAGCACGTCTGCGTTGATCGTTGATGAGATAAAGGCACTGCGGAGGGACTACAGCAGCATGCAGCAGCGACAAGTAAACTATGCACTGGAGACAGACCAAGACAGTCGCAGAGTCTGATAAATGGGCGCCTATCGACAGGTAACTTGAGTATACCCCTTTCTAGCCGACGTACCGATTGAGTGCGTCAGCCTGCCAGTCTCGACTGAGCACTGTTGCACGCATGGTACTGGCCACCGCTAAAGTAATGTGAGGTTTCAGTACTGGTAAGCTTTGCATCCGTATCTTACGAACTAATTGTCAGACTGCCACGAAACGTATGTAGCTTACAACTACCATCATCCTTGCACTGCAAGAACATATTTTGCTGTCTTCCTCTGGATCACTCCGTGTTCAGAAATCGTCAATCAAAGCCATCTGTTGAGACTGGTAGAACCTCACATTGCTTTAGATGTGGGCTATATGTACAGACAGCCCTCTGGAGACTGCGTGGTAGGTATTCTTTTTTCGACAAAACCGAGAATAACGCGAATACTATGCTATCGGCCACTTGGAAATCGTAATAGCAAGATGCGCGAGACTCCACAGCTTAGATTGGCATCATCACCGTATGCATTTTCCATCCAGTTTGGCAACATAACCCAAAAGTTTATATCTGCCCCCAAAACGAACTTTTACATTTTGTTGCCACACAAGGCGTATACTTTGTCTAGTGATAAGCCCAATCGAAGGAGTGGAGCATGGCGTATCTATTTGCAGTGAGTTTCGTCCCACTGGTAACATGGCTTTTGAACTATTATCAGTTTTTTTCTGAAAAAGAATGCCTACCACTATTATCAGTTTTTTTTCTGAAAAAGAATGCCTACCACGCAGTCTGCTGAGGACTGCCTTCTGCATTGGATTTTCATTGCCGTAGCTAAAATCCGTTACAACGCATTCCCGCCCCGCCGCGGACATCGCTTTGAGTAGATGGCGCTGATCGCTGGCAAAGGGGACGCACCGGTAGTTTCTGTAGTACGTAAGTGCTAAGTAGGTTGTATGGGACGTCGAGAGGCGTACCAGGGATGCGGTGTGTGAGTTGATCTGAGTCGACAGTTATCCTCGGAGTCGGCCTCGGGGCAACATTGCATTGTTCATAGTCCATAAATTATGAAATTTATAAAATGTAAGGCCCTGGATCATGTAAAGAACTGTTTCGGGCAGTGAGAAGGAAAAAAAAAACTCGACGTGGACAGCTATCATGCCATGGATTTATAAATATAAGATATTGACGAATGACGACTCCACAGCCGTGGCATCCAGCATACCAATTACTTGCGTTCGGGCGAAATCCTTTATGTCGTTCATCATGAGATGAAAAAAAAACAACAGTGGAGCGTTGTTTCATTCAAAATTAGAGGTTTACCCCGCGTTCGATGTCTCTCGGACGGCGAAGATTCTACGTCGTCCGACCGATCCCGTTCAAGGTCAGCGGGGGCTCGGCTGCGGTTATGGAGCGTATTTGGCCGGACCAAGGCCGGACGACGTAGAATCTTCGCCGTCCGAGAGACATCGAACGCGGGGTTAGTTCCATGACCATCATTCAGAGTTGGTCTGTCTCCATAGGTGACGCCACCATCGCTCACCGTGGCGTAAATGCTAACAGAAAATAGTGTCTAGCGAACTAATTTTTGAGTTTCGAGCCAAAATTGTGTCACTTATTCGATGAAACACCGCCATAGATTTAGCTGTTTTCAATTGAATCTTGAGTAGTGACACAGCCTACAGTCCCAATGCTCTGGAAGATAGTCTGCCATGGCCTATCCCATTTCATGTCTCAGATGATCTTTTTCTTTTTGGTGAGGACTGGAGCTCGCGTAGAGCCCCCCACCCTCTCCCCCGCCCAGCTGTTTGGCCCCTGATGGAGCTAGAGCTTCGCGGAAACTAAAGAGCTTGCTGCCGTGAGGAGAGGCAATGATGTCAGGTCAATGACCCAGATGTCCCGAAAATTCGCGTCATAGACTTTACATGTAAAAATCGGCATGCAAAATCGGGGTCCGGTCCCGGTGCCATGTCTTGGTCTATGACGCGTCCAAGTCAGAATCGTCCAAATATATGACGCAAATTTGCACTTTTACGGCACGCGCCACGCGCTCATTATCGATCCGATCGAGCTCAAACTCCTGAAAGGCACGTCGCGCATCCTTCATATTGGGCAAATTTCAGCGCATTATGCGCAACGGGCTGGCCTGAAGTCCACGGTAAGTGTCACCGTGTCGGGACCTCGGTGACAGACAAAAACAGCACCCACATCAAATAACAATATCAAATATGTGTCTGTGTCCCACAATCTATTCCCGTCCTGCCAGCACGGCTTCAGAACTGCTCATTCAACTGATACGGCGCTGCTCACTATGACTGACCGCATACTTGAGGCGATGGACAACCGGCAGGTGGCGCTGCTGCTGTGCTTGTTAGACAAGTCAAAGGCTTTCGACGTGATCCCACACAACCGTCTGCTGAACAAACTCTCTCTGTACAATGTCGATGTGCGCTGGTTTCAGAGTTGTCAGACCACTATCAACAAGTACTCATTACCGGCACGCTAGCTGGAGTCCGCACGCTGTCGCAGCCGCTGCTGAACCCAATAGGCACATTCCAGGGATCCGCGCTGGGCCCTCTGCTGTACTCGATATACGCCGCAGATATGCCCCTGTACCTCGATGTAGACACCGTGCATGACAAGTGCCTCGTGCAGTACGCCGACGATGTGCAGCTGGCTGTGTTCGGCAAGCCTCGGGACAGTGCAGTGGTGCGCTGGTTCGCAGTCTGGAGCAGAATCTTTCGGCCCTTTCACTGTGGTGCGGGAAGAACGGGATAAAAATTAACGCAAACAAAACACAGCTGATAGTTATTGGAACATGTCAAAATCTCCGTAAGATGCCTCACACTCAAGTACAGTTTATGGGCACGACGATTCTCGGCTCCCGTTCAGTCAAAAACCTTGGCGTAGTTTTTGACCAGAATATCACATTCTCGGTGCATGTAGATGACGTTGTGCGACGTTGTACCGGCCTACTCAGCGGACTGAGTCACAGCAGGCACGCGCTCCCACGAGACACGCTCTCCACTGTTGTGCAGGCGCTCGTTGTCTCGTTGCACTATGGGTCCGATGCAGGAATTAGCACGCCAAAAATAATAACTGCCCTTTAATGGCTGCTTTTACACCAGAGATGAAAGCCAGAACATCCGAAATGGATTTTGCGTGATTTCTAAACATGTAGGTACCGTCACGTGTGACATGTGAGATGTGACGTGTGTACCTATATAGTAGTGCTTGACGTTTTTATGTCAACCGTTTTCAGGGTGCAGGCTCTGACAGACAAAATGTCAGCTGAGTCCAATTTCGGTTTCTTGACAGAAAGCGATCTTCATTGCGATTAGCGGCTATTCATTTTTCCTTTAACTTGTTAAGCAGCTTTCCCAGTGCTCGAATGTCATCAGTCGTCAATTGAGCATTCAAAATACGAGCAATGCTAGCTGAAAAATCCTCTACTTGAACCGGCCCTACACCATCTGGACTGGTCAAGACGATGTCAAGAATGGCTTTGTAAGCAATACACATTGCTTATCTGCCTGTTTTGCTAGTGATGGAACGACAAGAATATACGTGCGCTCGCTACAATCAAGCTCAAACTACCCCGGCCACGTGGGTACAGTGGGCCGGGCACGCGGTCAAACCGCCTGAGGGCCAAGTCGCCAGACTAGTGCTGGAATGTCCGGAATTCGGACCACTAACCCGAAAGAACTGCCTTTTTTGCAAAGCCATCAGTTATGAGTTTCTGTCATATATGTCTATAAAACATTAGTCGTATCCACCAATACCCTGGTATTTTTGCCTTTGTGACCCTGCCGCAGCGCTCGCCGGTATGTCACAGCCGCAGCTAAGCGCAGTGACATCATCGGAAAAAAGTTTCATAACTTGCTTCGTCGCAGGTGGACGCAGCTAAATGACCTTGTTTCTGGTCAGGCAAGTATTGGGGAGCAAGGTAATATCAAAAATACCGGGGGGCATTGGGGGGCATTTAGTATTGCTCTGTATTTGTAAGTCTCTTGAAGCATTGCACACACATCTGTGACATGGACATTTAAATTAGCTGTGGCAATAAACAAGCAATGACACAGCTGACTTTTTTGCATTCATCACATTGCCCAAGCTTCAACTTATTAGTTTTGACCAAATATTTCCGTTTAACTATTATTTAGAACCGCCTATACTCGGGTAATTCCAACGTCCCTTTTCTCTCGGACGTGGACAAGGCAATGGCGTTCCATGATATGTGTCAGTTTGCGATGAAATATTGGGTACATGTGACATTTTTGGCAAAAATTACTGCTGTGTTCGCAAAATATGGACATTTTTACGTCGTTTGCGTCACATTTCAAGCCATTTTGACAAAGTCACCTAAATTATTTTTGGCGTGCTAAATCGTGCATCGGACCCATAGTGCGTTGGTACGGTACTGCATCAGTGTGTACGGTGTATGTGGTAGCACACAAATGGTACGACTGCAGAAACTGCTGAATTACGGTGCGTGTGTTATTTCGGGCCGTTGCAAGTTCGATCATATCAGTGACGTGCTGAAAGACCTGGAGTGGCTGACAGTGAAGAATCTGCATCAGTACCATTCGCTGACCCTGTTAAAGCGAATTTTAGCCAATGGCCAGCCGGAGACATTGTACGGTAGTCTGGTGACTCGAGGCGATGTTCACGGCCGAGTAACCAGACAGGCGGACCAGCTAGACAGGCCCACGATACACACGGATCCGGGGAGCAGACGCTTCCTGCACTCAGCTGTCACTGCGTATAACGCGCTACCGCAGGCGCTCCGTGAGATGGGGCCCAGACTCTTCCCACGGAACCTCCGTAAACACCTGCTCGAGCGTCAAAACGGCGGTGAATAGGTGTCGGATTGTATGTAGATGTGTGCATGAGTGTCTGTTCCCAGTTCCCATCGATTATTTTTGACGCGCGAATCATAATAGCCATGTGTTCATGGATGATTGCAAGATGTTAATACATACATACATACATGTGTCTCAATGCAATATGTTACCGCTCTCAATATACTCTGGCCATCTGATCTACGTGACATAATGCA